CCATGGTAATCCTTTACAGGGGAGCAGCACTCAGGAGCACAGGGTGGCAGCTGGTTGATGTCTCCAGATCACAAGGGGATAGGATCACTGGACAAGTGAATTCAAGGCCTGGACAAAGGAGCAGGTGTCATTAGACAAGTGGGATTAAATCCCAGGATTGTAGCTGAGAGTTCTGGATTCAACATCAGTGTGGATGTGGTAGTGGTGCAGACACAAGAGTAGTGCTTCACCACCTGACTGGGAGTTCAGGCTTATTTGGAGGGGTAACATACTCCCTTCCTCCCACAGCAAATCCACTCCTTGTTTATCACTTAAATCATTGTGCCCAGCTGGCCCAGGGAATAGCTGCAGCTGGAAGAGCAGGAAGGAGGTCTAGACCCAAAGAATAAAATGCCATCCCATTTGAGGTTGGATGGTGTGAAAACTCTTTGGATCCAGAAGTGGAAGTGAAATAGAGGAGCCTACACGAGAGATTTTTCAGAGGAGAAAGATCTAGACAACTCCTACTGAACCCAGAGAAAGCTGCTGGCTGATGAGCATCACTAGCTTCGAGGAAAACTGCAACCAGTTATTGGAGCTGGGCATCTTCCTGTCCTTGCAGGTAATCACACTGATTGAATCTGCTCACCTTGCCAGATAAATTGCTATGTGAACCCTTCATCATAGGATTTAGCAAAGCAAAATATCTCTTTAAATTTTAAAGTGGCAAAATCTTGCCCTTTTTTTGAGATTACTTTAAACCTCAGTCTTTGCAATAGGCTGCAGCAAGAGGGAGTAAAAGAACAAAAAGCCCTTGCTGTTAATATTTATGGCAACTAATGCAAAATTGCAACACATTTGCAGATGAATGGGAGCCCCTTTTAAAAGCTGCAGCAGCCTAATTTTGGGATGGCACTGATTTGGGGCTTTATTGTGTGGAATAACAAAGGAGAGCTTTCATGTTAATTAATTTAGAGGAATTATTAGTGTTAAAAATAAATAGTTCTATCACCTTTGCAAAAATAATCTGAGGGGGGAAAGAAGCTCAGTGAAAAGAACATATAGATTTTTTTTTCAGTTCCAGATTATTTTCAAATAATTTTTATGTCAAATACATTGTCCCTATGTAAGTTACAGGACATACTTCTGATGATACCTATGTAACAATTATCAAAATATTGCTACAAAATAAACCACACAGGTAAGTAATTTTCAGTTGTTCAGTGAAATAAGAAGCACTTGGAAATAGTTGTTTTGATGTATATAATTAGTGTGTATTTTATTTAAAGAATGAAGCATCCAGAACCTAGTTAGGAAAAAAAGATTTTTTGGTGACATTTACTGTTGTAAGGTTTGGTTCTTTTTTTCTCTTAGGGAAACAAGCCCTGTTGTATCCTGATTTGTTTGTTTGTTTTTTTAACTGAGATTCCGTTTGGAGGAATTATGTGTAATGTCAAACTACAGTATTCATCACTCACCGTGGCTTTATAGGAATCAATGGAGCAGTGTTCTTCTTGGTCTCCCTTCGTTACACAGTCTTTACAGAGAAAACTGATGATTTAAAAAGAGTGCAGGTTCAAAAAATCCTGATTATATGAATATTTACTAGAAAAATATTATACTTCTTCGCCTAAAAGGCATTTGGATGCAGGATAGACCAGACTATGTTATACCCTTGTCCTATATTAAAAACTCACCTCATTAAGCCCACCCAATTCTGCTTCTCTCTCTGTATCCTCTTTCATTCCTCTTTCTCCCTTTCTACTCCATCACATTGCAGACAATGTTGGCATAGTCCCTGAGGTGCTTCCATTATGCAGGGTAGATCATCTAGCATGTTTGAGAAGACAGGAACACTGTGGAGCCAGGAAATCTCTCAGCACTGCATTTTCACAAGTAGTCTCTGATTGTAAGTGTGAAACACTCCAGAGGAAAAGATTCCTGCAGATGGCAGATTATTGCAGTCATTGTCATAAGGATTTATGTCCTTGACCAAGCCCATATTTCCACCTGTCTTGAAACTGCCCAGTCCCAAGTGAAGATTTCTGTTACTCATCCACGTTTCATTCTGCTCCTACTTCTTCAGGCTATATAAATCCTAAGCAGTTGCTCCACTGCAACTGCTACTCAGAACTGATATCTACTCCTTTCACTAGATTCTTCTTGTTCTTCCTGAACCCAACAGCAAGAACCTCCTCAAACACTCTCATATGTGTGCAGATCTCTGCCTTTGAGGTAGTTCCTCCCTGGTGAAGAGCAGGATGAAGAGTAAAGGGGGTGAAGAACACCCCCTGCTGCTGCTTATTCTGGCAAAAGCAGAGGCTGCAGAGGCTAGCTAAAACCTGAATTTTTCATTTGCTATCACAGCATTATGTTTGGTATTGCCAATGATTGCCTCCTGTTCGATGGCTCCCAGGGCTTGCTCCCCTCCCCTCTCTATGGCAATATTGGCTGTGTGAAACAGAAGAGCAGTCTACCGGTCTGGTGGTGTAGGGGCTCTAATGGAAAACATTTCAGCTGGATGTTGGAGCTGGACATGTGGTACTGAAACATCAGAGCAGGTGTTGCCTCAGGTCAGGATATCCATGAGTGCAACCTTTCCTTTCTCATGGGCACAGCTACGGAGTTCAGTTATGCACCCAATGCTTCTTTTCAGCTGAGTATATGAACTCAGCCCTTCTCCAGTGATAGCATAGGGGCTTGCTTTGGCTCCCAACTCAGAAAGCTATCCCTTACATCAAAAGACAGGGGATTATTCTTTTGTGCCAAAGACTCTGGTTTCTTATCTCTGACAACTCAATCATCACATCACCTATGGCAGAAAGATGGCTGGCGGCAAGATTAGATTACAGTGATTTAAAATGATCTCTTTCAGATAAGCGCAGACCATGAGTATTCAAAAGCACACATAATCAGATTGTAAACTTGAATAACACAGCATGCCTCAGACATCAAGAGTATAAACACAGATTAGACAAATTTTGGGAAGACAGGTCCATCTGTACTTATTAAACGTAAGGGATCAGGTGATGGAATCTCCTAAACGGATGATTCCTGGAAATAGGGATCAGGGAAAGGCTCAAACTGTACACCTCTGTCCTATATCCACCCACAACAAAGCTTATGCTGGAAAAAGGGGCTGTAGTTCTCAGGTTGGATGCAGTATTCTCTCTCCATGACTGACTCTTGTGTACGTTTGCTGACGAGCTCTGCAGGTGTAGTGTACTCACAGTGTATAAGGTGTGCTATACCAGGCATATCCATATCACTCACTGGCCATTCATCACAATCTAGAGATAATCATCTGCCTAAATGAGACAGCTAGATTGTTTCTCTCGTTAACTTTAGCCACTCATTGGCATGCAAATCTCTGTTATAATCCCAGGAGAAATTTCCTCTGACCTGTTATTAATTTCATTCTTCGAAGTTCATTTTCTGTCTCACCTACTCATCTCCTTAAATTCTATCCCTTCAGATTAAGGCCTCTTTAAGAGACCTGTGGTAGGAAGGTGACACTCTTTAGTGCAACCTTTGAGATAGATCCGTCTGGTCAATCTGTTGTACAGAAGACAAAGGAGTGGCGTTTGTGAGGAGCTTTAGTTTCAGTAAGGGAAAGGATTTAAGTGCAAAGTGTTAATTATTATTACCTGGTAGGCTGTAACTAATAGTAACCATTTAGTTGGGAGATGTGGAAACAGGTATACAGTTAATTGGTAGATTTAGCTGAGGTCTGTGGTTACACTGCAGACAATCCATCATTGTTGTAAGCAGCGTGAAGTTATGCCCAGCCTGAATTACTGTGAGTCTCCCTTCACCCCTGGTCTTGTGCTAATATTCCGTGTCACCAGTGGGCATTTGAGTGAAATCTCTAGAAGAATGTGGAACAAATCCGTAAATCTCTTTCTGAAATGCCTTGCCAAAAAAAATCAATAAGGTCTTCCATGTCAGGAAGGAAATGTTAAAAAAACTAATTAAAAAATAAACTCTCCTGTAAATCAAATAGGAATGAGTGAGAGCAGGCAGATGGGGATGGAATAAAATTGCAGTGGAAGAGCCTTTAATTCCCTCCAGTCTTAAAGTGTGTGGGCATTTGCAAGTGCCTGTCAAAGCCGTGTAGGCAGTCACCAACAGTGCTGCCTGTGGTCAGGGACCAGGGGCTCCCATGGCCAGCAAACACCAGGCTCTGCCAGCAGGGTTTGGTGATCTCCGCCGGCCACCACTAGGATTGCTCCCTGGGGAATGACCCCGGTAAAAGAGAATCACTGCTCCTGGGAGTGAAATTGCTGGTCCTGAAAGCGTGAGAAAGCTAGAGCTGAAAGTGCTTTTCTTCTGCAGATATATCACTGGAGGGGAATCTCCCTCTCCCTGTCTCCCAGCACCAACTGCTGTCGTTTCATTTCCAAAACCTTGTCCCTGTCTCCATCAGCATTTATGTGGATACATCTCTGCCATGCATGAGTGATTTATCTAAGCATCAGCAGCTACTGTAAATGACGGTACAGTGAAGCAAAAGTGGAGGAGGGAATGGAGGGGAAAAAATGCGACTTTCCCCTCTGTGAAATCAAGCACAGGTGCCTATTCCCAGCAACTCCAATGCACTTACATCAGTCACGGGGGGAGAGAGAAAGACATTTCAAAGCCTCCTCAGACATTTAAGGTCACTTAATTAATCGAATTAAAATATTTCCTCTGGAAAGACTAACATATATATATGTATTGTTCCTTCACTTTGCACTTCTGCTTCCAGTTCACGTGTAGTGATTTCAGTATGTTGGGCTTGAACTGATGGAAGCATAGGGGAGGAAGGGGTTGGACGATTTGGGTTTAAAAGTTGGGGTAAGTCCTTCTTGGAGTGTGTCTGTGTGTGTGTGAGAGTGTGTGAGAAAGGGGGAGCGAGTAACCAGCCACTCATGACACAGGCGCGGGGCGTCCTGGCGGGGCGGCTACAGGCGGAGTGTGATGCAGAAGCGGCGAAGTGAGAGGGAGCAGAGAGAGAGCGAGCGGGAGAGGAGCGGGCTGTGACTTCCACTGAGGCAGCCGGGAGAAATCACCAGCCAGGATTTGCTCCTCTCTCTCTCCCTCTCTCTCTGACTTCAATTCAGCTCCTCCCCCGTGTGGTTGTGGCTTTGCCTTCCATCACAAGCCTGATCAGCAACGCCAGTCTTGGGGAAGGGGAAAAAAAAAAAAAGAAAAGAAAAAGAGGGGGGAAAGAGAAAAAACGGAAAAAGTGCAAAAGAAGGAAAAGAAAACAAGAGGGGAAAAACAGAGGGGAAGAAAGCAATCTCCTCTATCCCCCGGCTGCATCCTGCACAGCAGAGTCTGAAACTTTACGGAGTTCTCGCCGTGTTTACCCCGCGGCGGGTGAACCGGCAGCGCCCGGCTCCCTCGCTCCTGCTCTCTCCTTCTTGCACTTTCTCCCTCGCAGTCATCAGCAGTCGGCAGCGATGGAAAAAGTTGCTGGCTGGTACCCAGCCTGGCACGTTGCTCTTCTGTACTGGACATGGCTTTTCCTCTTCACTTTTGGCTTTACCGGCGCAGAAATAACTTGCAGATCCTGCCGTTCCCAGGTGCATCCGCAGCAGCAGCCGCAGCAGGGATTACTGATGCATTTGAGGACCGACAGAGGAGAGAAAGAGCAGAGGAGGTTCTTCGGGGAGAAGGTTGGTGAGAGAGAGCAAGAGGCCGGGACGGAGGATGCCCGGCTGCGAGCGACCCTCGCCGCTGCTCCCGCGGGGACGAAATCCAGCGGCTGGGAGACCCGGCGAGCGACGAGGGAGAAGGAGAAAGTGGCCGGGGAGCGTCGTCCCCGAGCGGCGGCGGCTCCGGCCGAGGAGCGACCCCGCGGTGCCCAGGCTCCCTGGCCGGCGGGCGGGCGGCCCGGCTCGGTGCGGCGGAGGGGCCGCAGCCCGCGGGGCTCCGCGGGGCCGGGGCCGGGGCCGGGCGGTGCCGCGGGGCGGGAGCCGGGGGACGGCGGCGCCGCCCGCTTCGGGCTGGAGGAGCTGCGGCTGGGCAGCACCACCTTCGCCCTGGCCGGGGACTCGGCGCACAACCAGGCCATGGTGCACTGGTCCGGGCACAACAGCAGCGTGAGTACCCCGGGGCGTGCTTTGCTTTTCCTCTTCCTTTTGACTCTTCCCCCCGCTCTCTTTTTTTTTTTCTTTTTTTTTCTTTTTTTTTCCTTTTTTTTCTTTTTTTTCGGGTTAGGGGTGGGGGTCGGGGGAGGGGTGTAGGAGGGCTGGGGGGGTTTTCTTCTTCGAGGGGGATTTTGCGCCTCCAGGCGCCGGGGATTGGCCTCGCTTAGCAGTGTGCAGCGGGGCAGAAGGGCTTCAAAAGGGCCATTCTTCTGGAGCAGAAAAACTTTCCGCTGCCCGCCCGCCCGCTGAGCACATCCCCCTCCGGCCCCCTTCTACTTCACCCCGGAGCAGAGAGGGATACAGCGGTGCCACCGCTTGCGGTGCGGAGGAAGAAGGTCTGTCTAGGGGGAATCCGTCCTCGCATCCTGCCTTCTTCCCAGGGCAGCCCTCACCAGGAGCCTGGGAGCATCAGCTCTAAGGAAGGCCAGGGGAAGCCCCTCTGTTGCTTCTTCTCTTCCTGCCAGCCCTGGGGTCCAGGTCAGCCCAAGGGCTCATCCCCAGGCCGTGCTGATGTGGAGATGCTAGAGGGTTTCAGGACTTTGCCCCCTAGGTGCGTGCCTCTGTGCATGGAATAAAGCTGCATTTTGCCTCTTGTCACCAAGGTGTTAAAACAGGACAGTTCTTGTCTCTTCCCTGTAACCTGGACCTTTCTCAGGAACAGAACAGCTCCAACTTCGGCAAAGCAGAACAAAAGTGACCGGAGATGTAGGCAACTGGTTTCCAGGCTGGAGCAATAGTGGTGGCATCAAAGTTACCAGGTCAACTTGAGCCCTGTATCCCTCCAGCATCTGCTAGGGAGGTACCTAAGCTGAGGGCTGAGGCCCAGGGAAGGCAGGGTGAGTTGTGTGGTGTGCTTTCTGCCTGCCCTTAACTGTACTTGTGGACTAGCAGAAGTGGAGGAATCTGTCTGTCCAAATGCTCCAACTTTGCCTCTTAGAGACAGCAAGCAGAATGCTAATGAGAGAGAAAGGGATGCCGCCACTATGTGGTTGTTGCCCATACAACTTCCCAGGAGAAACAGGGACAGGCTCTTCTCTAAGGTGTCTCTGGTTGTAATGCCAGAAGGTTTCTGGCTGCTATGCAGAAATCCTTGGCCTCCCTTTCAGCTTTTAGTACTAGGAGCCTGATAACATTTTGAAATAATAGTCTAGTCATTGTGAATTCCTTTTGGATTGTACTGAGCCACTCAATTTAGAACTGCAGCGGATGTCATAAGGACCTCACTGTGGGGTTCAGCGCTAGTTAATTGGGACACAGTTTTATGGTCTCATCAGGAGCTTTTTAATCAATTAATTGACAGGGGAATACTTGTCATCTCCATTTTGAAGAACTTTTCCCTTTCTTCACAACTCAGCTAGCCTGTTCCTAAATAGTTGCGTGAACAGAAGCTGCCTTGTAGGAACTCAGGTCTGTTCATACAAATTGAATTGAGGCTGACACTGGTTTCAAGTGACCCATTTGCAAAGAAAAAGGATTCTGATATAAAAAGTCAGCCAACAGGCATCAGTTTTTCTGGTCTATCACTGCATTTATGTTTAATCTGTACATTTATCAAGACACACCTGCTGTTATTATATATGTGTTTATGTATACACATATACATGTATAGATGTTTCAGCCCACTGTGGTAGTATGAGGTGTTATTTTCAGGGACTGATTTACTGTCTGAGTGTCTTGGTGTACAAGTGTTTTCAGGGTGCTGTGGGGAAATGTTTTGAGTGTCCTTCCCAAAGAGCTGTAGGTTGCATTGTGCATGGGATTAGTAATGCTCCCCCCTTTGCTGCTTGGGGCTCTGGCAGTGCTGTGCTGTTTTGTGCTATGATTGCATCCTCCTCAGAGCACTAAGTGAAGCTGGGCCCCAGCAGAACTTGGACACACAACAGGCTTGTCCAGGCTCAGCTAAAGCAATGGTGTGTGTCCAGGAGGAAGCCCAAAGTGGCACTGACCCATTGTCTCTCTGTGAGTGTTTTGGGTACCCATCTGTGAAGGACCTGGGAGTGGGATGGGCTTGGGGTGAAACACTGCCCTTAGGGTACAATATATGTAGTTCTGCCTTCATGTGTGTCCCAGAGGATCCCATGGTGCTGCTTGTGAGGGATGCTGTGTAACCTCAGTGCCCTGGCTGCACTCCAACAGTGGTAGCTGCCAGCTTCCTGCTGGTGTTTCCTTGCTGTGGCATGGGGATATAGCACACTTCTTCCTATTTTCATTTTTATGTGTTCTGTAAGTGCTGCTGTCACACAACTTTTGCCTTTTGCCCAGGCAGAGGGGCAGTATAAAGATGATAACAGTTCGTGGTTTCTGTGTGAGTACAGGAAAAATCAAAAATAAAGCTCAAAATTTTTGAAATCCCTTCAGGTGGAAAAACTGGAAAATTAAGGATTGTTTCTCTATTGCAATGTACCTGATTCTGACAGCCTGAGTGTGGTCCCTTGTATCCTTATTTTGATAGGGGTTTGGATATAATTGCAGTGCTGCTGGTGGAGGAGAAGGAACCCCTGAAAGGACTCCTGATTTCTGTAAGGGATTGTTCTGGGTGTTTGCAGCTTCTTTCAGGCTTGGCTGTGATTTCACGGTGAGTGTGTGCACACATCATTGAACTCATGGCATTCTGCTCTGATGATGAACTTGCTGTATGCTCGGCCACAGGTAAAATAAGAATAACAAATAATAGTCCAAGTCATCCAGGTATAACTCCATCAACATAAATTGTTTTACATCAGGGATTATTTTGGCCCATAAATGACTTTAGGTATTCCCTGGACAGTTTGCTTTCCAGAACAATATTCATATCCAGACACTTGCAGCATGCTCTGTTCACATCTGTGGGAATGTGCTTCACATGTGCACTAATCCCTCCTGTCTACCTTTGCTGTTTCACCAGTGGAGTCAAAAGGAGGTCCCCAGGGGAGAGCATAGGTGTAGAGATGCTGGCTTGTCAGATGACTGATGAGGTTGAAATCAGGATTGTATCCAGTGTTGTATTAAAATACAGATGGGTCTCAGGCTTTCTTGGATTCCAGCAGAGGTGAGTGAGGCCGCACAAAGCTGTCTGGCATCTCCACAATACTGAGCTCTTTCAGTCTGCAAGGCAGGAAAGAGTGGCTGCAGCAAAACTGGGTGCTGGAAGAGGTCTTTGGCTTGTACTGAGTCCCAGACTCTCCAAAAATGATCCAAAAAGTGTTAACCAGCCCATGCCAGCACCCTTCCTGGAATTATTTTGACAGTATAATAAGAGCATAGAATATTGAGTCTATAAATGGGTCCTGGTACCACTTAATTTACTTACATTGATACATCCTGAGGGTCTTTCCACTGGCCCCTATAGAAACGGGAGTAAAAGGTTATATGAGATAGAATCTTTCTCTAATCTCTGCTACAAGATAGACAAGTGAGATCTCCTGCCTTTTTGCACCACTGAAAAATTTCATCATTGCTGTGGAAGTTGGCAGGTTTCCTAGTTCACAGAGGTATCAAATGTGCTTCTTGATGTGGTGTATCCAAACACTGTAGATTTGGAGTCCCCATAGCTCCCTTAATGTGATGCTGTAGACTAGGAGAAAACAGATAACAGAGATTTATGTGTGGAGCTAAAAGAGAGACTTGGTTTTAATGGAGAGAAGCAAGTCTCTAGGTGATGTCCATTATGAGCTTTTGGGATACAGATGGTTCTCAGAGATCAAAAAAAATGAAGACTGTTTCTGTCCTAGGCTGGCTTGGAGTGAGATCAGTGCCTTACTTTTTCATTTGAAAGTGTTCTGAAGAAAGAGCAAAAAAAATGGAGGAGGTCAAAAGGTAAGGGAGTTTGAGCAAGTGCTTTGATGCTACAGCTTGTGCTATAATGTGATGCTGTGAAAGAGAGCAGCATGGGTTTCAGACTCATTTATTATAATGGCAGTTTGCTATTTCCTTGCAGTGGACAGAGTGTTCTCCTGGGCTGGATGTTGATGTAGATCTCAAAGTGTGTGGTGAAGAATTTGAGCATGTACCTTGCTGCATACCAGGGGATTGGCTTTTACATAATCATGATACCTGTAAATAACTGGTTCAAACTTCTGTGATTTACATGGCTAGAAAGACAAAGCTGGGCTTCTCATAGGTCCTCCACAGCAGCAGGCCCTCAACAGACTGATGGAGATATGGAGATGGAGTCAGAACTAGATGAAAAACAACCATGGCCAGACAGGTTTTATATTCTGTCCACAGCAGATCGATACAACTGATGGGTCTAGTGCAGGGTGTAGCCTGCAATGTGATCATTGCTGTTGTCAGGCGATAACATTAGACAACAAGGAAAGGATTAGGTCTAGTATGGGAGAACTTTTAGGCAAGATGAGACTCTACATGAGGTGTTGCTTGCAAGATTTTACCTAATGTTATTGACAGGAAAAACTAGGCACAGGTAAAGCAGAATAACAATACACTTACATATTTCAAATGCACTGTATTTCCACCTGGACAAAGCAATTGAGAATAAACTGTTGTTGGATTTTTAGCTGAAGTGTTCAGACCTACTTTATAAATTAGGAACTTTAAGAATGTCACATGGCTCCAGCAGGTACTGCATCCTCTAGCCGTGAACTGATCAAACTGCATCTTATAAAGAGTAGGCTATCTTTCAGCTCACCCTTCTATTGCCTTCTTCCTTTCTGTGTAAGTGTTGCAGCCTTTTTCTCCTGGCTGTGGGAAACTACTCTCTGATTTCTGTTCTAACATTGCCATCGGACAATTTAGATTAATTTTTTTTTTTTCATTTGTGCATGTTCTTTTTAATTAAAGTTATTTTCCCTCCCTGGCACTTACGCCCCCTGGAATTGTTTTACAGGCAGTGATCATATTCCCTTTCAGCCTCTGGTTTGCTAAATCAAGCAAGCACCGTTCTTTCTGTATCTGCTTGTGCGACAGGTTGTGAAAAGTGAACTCTGAATTTCTAGGCGTCAGGTTCCCAAGAA